AAACAGACCCTTCCTTCCACCACTGTTTTAACAATGATATACAAATCAGTGGCTACTACTCCCAAGATTCCCAAAGGTCTCTGAGGATAGTAACTGATTAATTTGTGATACCGGTGTTTTAACTGAGCAGCACCTTACTGCACAAGGGATAAGTACTGAAGTCAATACATAATTATGTAGTAAGACGTTACTGTGATAGAAAGATGTCATCATCTGGCCCCTGATCAAAATCAACACGGTTTCACAAATATTTTCATGTCAGGCAGGCTGGTGGAAGAGAACAGTTTAAACATAAGAATCATTCTTTCCTCTGAGGGAGTGGTGGAAATAGGTGGGCAGAGTGTGGTGTTTCTGACTCCTTGCAGCGTGGGAAATAAGAAGCACAGACTCTGAAATTCCACCCAAATGCTCAACCAGCCTCTGGAGATGGGGGATAGGTAATCCTCCAAACTGAGTGCCAAGAGCAAGGCAGGACATCTCAGCCATCCTGTCCAACCAAGTCCACTGTGAATAAGAAACTCTCTGCTTCCTGTCTTCTGCTTGGCTTTTAAATTCCTGTGACATTCATAGAGAGGAATGTGAATTCACACACACACGCACTTCTATATGTAGTCTGGTCTGTTAGGAAACATGGTAGAAAGATGTGTGAAAGAGGATATTTTCACCTTGAATTTGTGCTAACTGTTCAGATCCAGGAAGAAAGGGGTGACCAGCTGCTTATACCAGGAAGAAAAAAATCTAGTCTGTAAAGGAGCAAGATTCAGGATGGGAACAGTTCCAGGCATGGAGAAAAACATACAGCAATTGACAGGACTTTATTATATGGACCTTACAGTTACTATATGGACTTTACTGTTATTATGTGGTTTCATTGTATCCACACTACAAAGTGCACAGCCTGGGCATGCCTAGGTTTGCCATGAGTTTGCCTGCTCCCTGCTTCCCCGCTTCCTTCTCTGATAGGCTGAAGAAGCTGCAGAGAGGAGACAGTTACCATTTGCCCTTTTTCTCCCCCTTTTGCCTGTGTCCTTACCCTGATTTGTTCCCCTGTTTGTTTGTCTCGTGCTCCACCTCATATACTAGCCCTTTCCCCACCTAAAACTCATAAAACCTGACACACCTCAATAAAGGATCCTATTTTGCACCTCTACCTTGTCCCTGAACCCATCCATGCTGTGTCACAGCCCCGTTCCCCTTCCCCCTCGGACCGTGGCACTAGTCCTTAAAATGCTAGCAAAATGCTTCCAACTGAAAGCTAAAGCTAGTGTAGATTGGCAATGCTTTAGGAGACAATACTAGTGATATATCTGGGCCTTAAATTTGTCATGTTCACCATAAAAGATGTTGTTTAATGGTTAGGGAATATGAAATCAAGTTTAGGAAGGTTGAAAGAATGAATAAATCTTTGAATGAAAGAAATACACCTCTTATGTAAGTGGAAGGAAGACTGAGTACTTAATTTTCAACTTTCAATGGAAAAGACTATTGATGATTTAATAGCAGGAACTGATGATTTAATATGGATGATTTCATACCTGGTATTAAAAATATATGCATCCATTGTAAAAGATTTGTAAAAGCCTTGTGTAGTCATTACCTTGAGCATCAAGTTTTTATATAAACTCATATCATGGGACCATAATGTTACCGCCAATCATAATTCTTTTTCATTCATTACTCAGAGGATAGTAAAACTTGATGTGAATTTTTTTAGAGTTGTGAAATTATTTAGGAAATAAGAACTGAAAGAGAATCTCCACCCTTGGAATCCACCTTGGATTCTCTTTAAATTAAACCCCTAGGTGCTTTAACTGAAGCCACTTGCTACTTAAAGTTTGCTTTAATTAAACAAGCGAGCACTGGCTTGAAAACTGAATAGACTAAAAACTACATGTGCTATAATGGTCTTAGAAGTTTGAGAACATTTTAGCATATTTTTTTCTGACTTTCTTTCAGAGGTAACTTCTAGTGCAACCATTTCATGGTTTTTTTTCCTTTGTAACTGTTCTATGGCACAAGTCTTTTGGAACAGTGTATACATTTCAGTTGTTATTAACTTCTACTTTCCACAGCTACTGTAATTCATCTAGCCTATTGTGACCGAAGTTGCCCAAACTTGACCAAGTTATAATAGTTAGAACGTTTTAATTAATAATCCTTTACCACTAAGTATTGAGAAGGTCATGCTGGGTATGTTTGCTTCACAACTTCGGGTTCCATTTTTCTGGTCTTTCCCCACAGTGGCCTCTCAGAGAGATTTGAATCACAGGACCATATGCTGTTAGTAATGAATGCTCCATATTGCTGCAAGGGGGAAAATGTGGGCTCTGTGACTTGATGAGGATGCCTGAAGAGAAGCCAGAAAGGGTAGAGATCTCAAGGGGGATTCCATCCACCCAGAAAGAGGACTGAGGGAGTTGTTACTCCTCTGCTGAAGACTGGGAATGGGAAGAATGCCCTTGGATGACAGTGATACAGCATACGGGGGTTTTATAAAGGCTGGCATAGAATGAAATGAACAGATAGAAAACTGGGGCACAGCAGTTTGTCTGCATTTGAAGCATGCTAGGGCTCTCTACATATCCACCCTGACCATGGCAGTAGTCCTAGGGGCTCTGACACTACACTTGATTACTAGTTGACTCATATGCAGCAAAACTGTGAGGGAATCAGTGATGAACCTGACAGCATCAAAAAGCTTGGGAACCCATTGGAAACCACTGCCAGCCACTGGAGATGCCAGCAGCCGACAAGCCAGAGTCACTGTCTGAAGAGCTAAGGAGATTTCAGGAACTTGGTGTACTTGTGACAAAGTTCTTACTGCACACACTGATGAGCTGCACAGTAACAAGCTTTGTGCCTGGCAGACTGTTTCCTGGGCCATCACCTCTAGGATCAGCTTTTCCCAACAGTTCTGACTGCAGACACAGGTATCTTACCTAAATCAATAAAAGGGAGTTCACTAGAGATAAAGCATGGGAGAGGAAAATTTACAATTTCTTCCAGACAGTCTGAAAAATCCCATTACTTTTCTTATGAAGAGTTCCCTCTTCTTTATAAAGCCAAATGTTCTGGCTTTTTTGAGTACTCTTGAAAGAACAAGTCAGTTCTCGGCAAAAGGAGTCCTTGAATGGCAAAGATCAAATCAAGTTTCAGGAGAAAAGGAGACAAACAAAAGTACTGGAAAGTGGATATAAAGTTTTTTTTTACCAAGGAATACCTGAAGTTAAAATACTGAAGAGGACAGCTAAGGCTGAAAGCAGCCATGCCCAGAGGGCTGAACTTGTCCTGCAAGAATACTGCACAGAGAGCAGGATTAGAAGCAAAAACTGCGTGAGGCTTTTGCAAACTGAGCTCATGAAAAAATATAACAGCACTAAACACAGACCCTGTCAGTGACTGGGAGGTTTCCCATTTATTGCAAGAGCTGATTACACTTCATTATCTTTTCTTTGTCAATTGATGTGGCATACTTCTCAGTCATGAATGCCTGGCTAGATAGGAGCAAAGCCGGATAATGTTAAAAAAAACCCCAGTTTTTCTATGCACCAAAATTGCAGGACATAGAGGATCTTCAAAAGTAAAATAGCATTAGTCAGAGACAATAAATAGAAATTTTCTGTGTTCATTAATAACATGGGGAATGAGAATAGTGCTGCCTTTTTCAGAGATGGAAATGGAAATATAAATCAGATGAAGAAAATTACCTTAAAATGCAAAATCTCTTGTGAAATTCCAGAGCACTTGTGGTGTCAAGAGAAGAAAACTGCCAGAAAAAAATACCAAGGCATATTTTCATTCCATATTTGTTAATCCACGTCAGGCATGCACTTCAGTGAATGTTTCATGAATTTATGGAAAATATTCTGTACAGCTATTTATATAGTGCAAAACAAGAGGTAACTATTTAGCTGGTAAATTTTTTTGGCAGACATCTTTTGTAGCTTATAGCAACAGAGGAGAACAATGCATTTTCAATTTAAAAAAGCAAGAGGGTGTCATGAAACACAGGATTTGTAATGAAGGTTTCAGGAGACCAGATATGAGGAAAGAACTCTAATATAAAGTTCTACAATAAAAAAAAATAATTTAAAAGAGGAACACTTTAAAAAAATTCACAACCCCAACTTATTAAGGCTGTTAATGATATGATTTTCTGCCAACTGTTTCCTGTTTCTTACTCCTCTGAGAAATCTGGAAATAATAATGACAAAGAAACAATTATCTCAGAAGCAAATTTTAGAAGACAACATGCATTTTATTTTACCAAATTAAATTCAGCTCTTAATGAAAATGCCTCATTCACCTGTCAGCAGAAAGATACAATTTTGTACTTTTACCAAAAAGCCATCCTCCTTCTAAAAGACAAAGGCAAAACATATACCTGAAAGATGGCTTCTATGTCCGAAAGCTTGGTTGCCATTTTATTGGTTTGATAAAAGGAATTACTCCTCACTTCAGATACTTCCTTATTTACATGTTCAGAATACCACAGTAGCAAAAAATTGATCACTAAGAATACACCACACATCTGGAAAACCACTTTTTCAGTGTAACATTATAATTGACAGCTGTGACATTTAGTTGTAGAATAAAACTCTCTGCCTGGATAAATGCATGGATTTGCTTTTTAGTGTAGACCATAGCTTAAATGGAATTTTCTATCTGTAAATTATTCCTACTAGAAAAAATCCAATTATTATTTAGTCTATTTTGCCCACAGACACTACTGTGCTACTAGTCTGTTGATGCAAACTGTTCGAAGGTCCTTTAAATCATCCCTCAAAGCTAAAACCTTTTGTGGTGGGGTGTGAATAGTGAGATTGAGAAGAGGCTTGAAGCTAATGTGACACTGGTATGTGTACAACTTACTAGAAACTTACTGTTTTGAGCCTTATAACAGAGACACAGTTTTGGCAAATTCTAGGAAAAGGATCTCCAAGTTGCTCTGACTATAAAAGGACATCAAAAAATAGCAGCAGGAGAAAAAGAGCACCGACCTGTACCTGCCTGGTTTGCACTTGCTTCTCTTTCATCTGGGGTTGCTCAGTTATTTTGCTTTGTTGAAGTTGTTTGTGGGTTCTCCGTATAACGCAAGAAAACTTACAGGTCTGTTCTTGCAAGTGGAAAAGGACTGTTACTGGAAAAATATAATTAAAACAAAAATAGTCATCCTCTCTATAATCTTTGTAAACTTCACCCAGAACCTCCTGATAATATTTTAATTTTCTGTTTGTGATATAAAAAGAAATACCTTTGTCTTTTTCATCAAAACTTACCAAACTGTTTACGCTTGATTTCTCAATTAGACAGGAATTCTCCCTGGATTAGATTGGTTTTTTTCGCAAATGATGAGCATGAACTCATATCTAGCTAAAAATGTTTATCCTTTGTTGAATTGCAAACTTCAGTATGGTTGCAATTGTGATACTGGTCACAATATTAATGGTCCTAATCTCGTCTGTCACTTTGATATATCCAAAATCAACAATTCATGTCTCAGTTAATTTTAGAAATTTTTTCTACCTTATCCAACAGATGAAAAATTGACAAAAGTTTTTATAGTAAGGGCATCATTTTCCTGTGAGAGCCAATTTTACAAACCAATTGACTAATTCATTCCTCACAACTATCTCATTTAAAATAGACTGACAAAAGGCCAGCTGCAAAAGCAACTACACTAAACTGCTTCTCCCCCAGAAACACAATAGAGAAAATAGGTATTCATTATTTGAATTTGGTTGTTCACAGCTGGTGTTTTCATCAGCCAGTATAAATATTAGATGTCAGACCCATACGACAAAATTAAGTTTCAAATTTTAATGCCCCAAGAGAAATTTTGTGGGGTTCAGATGCAAAGTATTTTTTTTCCCTAAAATAATAAAGGACGATTTCCAAATTAGGTTCCTGGGTCAAACTCCAGGTTCTCTCAGACCTGTAAGTTGTTGTTTATAGGGACTTAATTTGAGCACTTCTGTAGTCAGTAAACTCACAGACTAATGATGCAAGAAAGCTTAACCTCAAAGACATAGAATCATAAAATCATAGAATACTTCTATTGGAAGTGACTTGAAGCACTTGGTTTTTAAACATAAATCTATTTATAGTCACCTTCTTTGTTTCTGCTTTGTTTCTGAAAAATACATCTCTTTAATTTACAGCCTGAACCTTTGGGACTAGAGGCACCACACACAGAGTCAGCCATGGGGATTTTAAGTAGAAAAAAATATTTCACATAGGAACCTATAAAAATCTGGTCCCTTGTTTAAGTCACATTTCATTGAGGTTAATTATACGTACATCCATTTTTTTTTTTTGTGTATGTGAAAGGTCACTTTGTAAAAAGCAATATAGGTCAGAACTCATTTAATCAGCATTTTGGCAAAGGAAAAGGCCATTCTATATTTCAGTATAATACTAGCTGTTTGCCTTATGTTACCAATCTTTTCAAACGTGGGAATTCAAGCTAAAAACAATAAAATATGAACTTTCAATCTTTTCCTTTTTTTCCAAAAGAATATTTAAAGGGCCCCATTAGTCAGAAGGAAATTGAATAAACTGAATAGGAAGATGAGTATGAGCTTCTATGTGTGTATCCAGATAGGGATTTTAAATATCCTCCTTCCTTTTTTAATTTAAGGTGAGAAAAAACTTAATTAAAGTATCTCATCTCATATCAGTTTGTGTAATCTCCAGAGATGTATTCTACTATGTACAAGCTCTAGTCAACTTAGCTGTACCTTTGAGCTGATCAAATCAATAAGTAGTGTTTATCCAGGTCAGCAAATATTTCTTGCAGCATAGCACTTCCATCATGAAAGATCCCCAACTGCTTTTACAAATTCTATGTATACTCATGTTTAGTCACATTATTTTCTAGTGAAATACATCCAGTGCTTTGATGGATCATAGCATCAGCCTTTGAGCACAGCAATAAAACAGCAGTAGAGGATGGGAACCAAAGTGTTCTGGATTTACATCAAACGACAGAAAGATTTAAGTAGATTAGTTACATATCGAGAAAGTGAGTAGTAGCCAAAAGAACACTGTCAGTCTTGCCAACCATGCAAACAAAATTCCTCTTATTGAAGAAGTTGACATGTTGAGAAGAGTACATTCAATTTTTAATACCTAATCACATTTGAAATTATAAATATATCTTTCTATTGTGACAGCTCAACATCTATCTGGATGATGCGAGCCTTCACGAAAAGTCAAAAACATTACAGCAACGTCTTTAAACACTAAAGGCAACCTGCACCATTGCACAGACCAAGAATCAGTTTTTGTCTCTGACACAATCATTTTCTTTTGGAGAGCCAACTCAGACAAGAACAAACTGGGAGCTTTCTAGACATGACAGACTGGCATCTCTAGCAACAACAAATATCTTCACAAAAGATATGGCATATTTTTGCACTACAGCATAAGACTTGAAATAAAGACCAAAGATGAGGGTTTGTCTAAGATATCAACCAGCAGCCTCTCTGGAGGATCTGAGTCATGTTCACCTATACTAATGTTTTACACCAATTTCATGCTGACAGCTGTTAAAAGAGAGGCTACCACAGATAATAAAAAAATTAGAATAAACACCCCCTTTTTTCCCTTGTCACTGTTGCTTTGATTAATTCAGTGATTTTTAAGAGTGGAATATGTCTAATAAATATGTAAACATTTTCTTCTTTCTACACTGTTTTAAGATATTTGTTAGCTTTAAACTATCTCCATCTAATATTATGAATGAGTTACCTAGAAAAAGTAAGTTAGATATGTGATGCAAACCTGAATTTATCTGTTATGAATAACAAAATGTAAACATACATTGGGTTTTTTTATTATGACTATTGCTTTATCATCTTTCAAATTCAACATGGGAGGGATTTAGCCCTTACTTAAAGAGATTTAAAGAATATGTACATATTCATAAGCGAATTTTTGGGATTAGAGTGATGTGATCAATGCAATAGCTTTGATTTCTTGGAAAATACAACGATTTATAATTGCCTTCCATTTATTTCTGAAGTTTGAGGCTGAATTTAGTAAAAATCTTTTATTCTTCCTAATTTAATTCTACCAAACCAAATGTAGCTATTTTTTCTAAGTGTCATCCTATTGGTAAAACTTCCTTGTCTTACAAATATGAAATATCTGAAGTCCAGGAGTCATCATCGTCACAAGTGAAATAAGAGTCTGACCAAATTCATGAAAAGAAAACCAATTAACCTGCTGCTTCTATCACATTCTAATTTTCACATTAATTCCATCCCAAGCCCACACTTACGTTTGTTGAATCCAGTCTTTTGCTCTGGATAATGATACTGTAGATGAAACCAAGAAAAGCATTGCAATTACAGTTATTCTTGCAAAAAAAATTGGAACCACTTAAGTATAAAATAGATAATTTGAGAGCAGAAAGTCTTTATAATTTCAAATGGTAGATGGAGTAGATGGATGCAGAGGACATTCACAAGCCTGAGGATAGCCAGGTCCCTCCTGTCTGCACAACCTCTACTAGAGCCCACTCTGGGGGAAGTCGATGGCTTGAGAGAGGAAGAAGGGCAGCTCCCAGCCCTGTCCTCACCTTCCAGCAGGGAGAAAGAACTGTGTGCTGCCAAGGGCTGAGAGGAGACACCTGCTCAGTGGAGAAGGTAACACATATTAATGAGGGGAGACATACAGACCTCCTTCCTCCCCAGAGCTCTGTGAGTCCAGCCCATCTCTATGCTTTGCCACTTTATGGCTGTAACCTACCACCCCTCAAAATCTCCCTTTACCAGCCCGTCTTCCTTCATGTACTCCCTCCTGGGATTCACTCTCTGCTCCCCACCCTGAAAGATGCAGTCTGTAGAGGTGAAGTACAAGGCAACCAACACCATCATGTTGGGGTCGAACTTTCATTTTGTCTGTGCCACTGCAAAACCATGAGCTGGCTCTGGAGAGAAAGCCTGCTTTGAAGTTGAAATCGTGTTGAGCACCATGGTGGTCCATGTTCTTTAATGGCCCACAGTGGCCAGCTTTTCCTCTTGCTTAAATTTAAATTTAAATAAACCCTGTTCAAATTGCAGTGACACAAGTAAATAATTAATCAAACTTAATGAATCCTTATTTGAAGTTGTTTCTGAAAAGGTTTCACAACGCATTATCATATGGCAAATCTGTTTATTTCAGAGAGTTTTTATGTTGAGTAAAGAATACCAAATGGTATCCTATGCAAGCCTCAGACTTGGGAATTCATTACCAATAGAGAAAGTAAAGGAGGAATAGTAATTTTCAGAGTAAAAGGATAAAAAAATGAAGGTATATATATATTATCTACCTTGAATTATTGCAGCTCTGCATTTTGGACATGGACCACAGTAATATGGAACTAGACTAGAAAATAAACCAAGGCTCAAAGTTATCATTTGCATGAAACAAAAAAGGCATTACCAACAATACAATTATTTCCTTCTTTGTCATCACTGGGAAACAGTGCAACACAGTTGTGCAACACAGTTGCACGTTTCAGAGGAGCGCAGTGGGTATGACATACCGAGAGTCTTTGTGTGTACTTTGAACACAGAGCTCTGCACTGAGTATGAACCTACCATTCCTCAGATCCTTTAATGTATGACCAGGTTTCTCCTCTTCCATGTCTTATGTGAGGGAGATTTCCTAGGCAGAAGTAAAGTATGGATTACCATGACTTAGCCATCAGTATAGTAGAGAAACACTTTTTCTTCTTAGGAAATCAGTAACTGGCAAAGAAATGCACAGGACTCCAAATATACTAATTCCACAACCTACTAATTTATCTCTGAAAACATTCAAAGCAGTTCTCTCTTGTGCCTAGTAATAGAAATTCATTTTCTCCCTGAGAATTCTGCTTTTCTTCAGATACTCCTATCAAGAGTCACCAGGTTCTCTGAAACTGGTTATGTATGCACAGCTTTATAACAAGAGAAATTGCTTTTCATTATTTTGTCTTCTTATTAAGGTCAGAGATTATATAGGAGATTACATATTTGTCCCCAAAGAGAAAGTGATTTATAGCCTTTGCCAGAGAGGTGTAAAAAGCTGGAATTAATTTGCTTTCTGTACTAGAGGGAAGCTTTAAAAAGTGATATTGAATGTGTGGATGTAAAAAATATTTAAGCACTGACAGCAATATACACAATACTAATAATATATAATGCTATTACTACACTACAGGCCTTCTATATGACAGGTTCAGCTTTACCCTTCTTTTTTTTTTTTTTTTTATTTTTTAAATGATAGCCTTTAAGAGCCCAAGATTGCATTTTTAAAACAGGTCTAGTCCTGAAGAAGTTATGCATAGGTTGCTACCTATTATTTTCCTTAAATTCTATCACTGCTACAAAGCCTGTGTTCCACAGTAACAGCACTGAGCAGGCACATGTGCAGGCACTTTTGGTGGGGAGGGCATGACCTGGACTGCTTGAGGATGAGAGAGTAAAAGCAGTACAAGGATAACTGACACCAACAGTCTTGAAGACCTAAGTGATGGCTGTAATTACAGCCTGTCGCGGGAAGGACAGGAGCAAAAGCAGAGCCACACCACTCTCTCTGGGCAGACACCCACACACAGTAGCACTGTCAGCTGTGATTTGATACTCCCTGCCAGCAGCCAGCACCACAGTTGTGGCAGGCTGGATTTCACCCCATGACCCAGCAGCCCAAGAGCTGGAAAAGCCTAGCCATGATGCTCAGGTTGTTCCAGGCAAAGATGGTGTTAGATCTCAGATGAGTGGTTATTGGGTCAGAACCACCTTGTGGGGAGTGTGTGTGTGTGTCTGTGTGTGTGTGTGTCTGTGTGGAGGGGGAAGAGATGAGTCGAATCTCAAGGAGGTGAGGTGGCATGATATTCCTCATGGCGGGTCCCAGGAATCCACATAGGGAAGCCCCGAAGTAGCTGTCAGTCACAAACAGCCTGGGAAAACTACAACACACCTCACTTCCTGCAGCCCCTAAGCCAGCCTCGGATTGGCAGGGACAGTGAGAAAACTGCTCCTCACCCTGGCCTGGAACCCCTAGAGTGGCTGTTGGGCCAGAGACCCCACCTGGAGGGGTTGGCCATAGGAACCAAAGCAGATAAAACCATGTGTTTGCCTCGTGTCACGGCCCTGCCACTTGGACGTGTGAGAGCTAGTCTTCTACAAGGTTCCAGTGGTAGGTACATAATCTCTCTCTCCCTCTTTCTCCTTCTCTCTTTTTGCTCCCTCTACTTCTCTTTCTTTACTCCTTTCTTGATGTTTTGGGTGGTTTGGAGCTGGAGGGACTGGATCTTAAATTAAGTGTTGTGGATTAATAGTATATGCGCTGAGTCGGTATTGTGGTGGAACATTTTGTCTAGCTTGTCTAGTGCCCTTTTTGAACCTTGGCCAAGTTCCCTCATTTTCTCTCCGAAATTAATAACGAAACCTCTTGGGAGGTTTATTCTCTTGACATTAGCTCAAGGTATTAAAGAACCCTATATCCATACTTTAAAATAAAACTCATAGCTGAGTCTGTGAGCTGGCAGCTCCCAGGGCTGGAGTCTTACAGGCTGGCTGCCTTGGAAGCCAAATACATGAAATTAAGGTGCTCATTCGCATTAGTAAAAAGGTTAAACCAAATGCAAGACAAGTATGCTCATTGAAGTGCAAGAGCCCTGAACACCCACACACATGACTGAAGCTGCAAAATGGGCTAAAAGTCCATATCAGAGTTGCTACAGGGATTTATCACATCCTACAATTAGTTTGGATGCAAAGCCCTTTGACGTCAAATAGAAAGTTCCTCAAGAACATCAATGGCTTTTGATCCTGGATGCAGAGAGGAAAAAGCTGTGCAACTCTCTAGATACTAATTCAGCTTTTGTTTAGTATGCTCTAAGGGTATGGCTTCATGTGCTGAAGTTAATTTAAAGCACAGTGTTTGCAAAATGTCTTCAAGTGGCCTTTTGAAATTGGCTCTGCTAGTTTCATTGAGCAGTTTACACTGATAAGTGAGGGAAAAATGTCTCACAATTGTATTGATAGCAGAAAAGAAATCACTTCCATAGTATTGAAGAGGGCTGTAGCTGATGTGCAAAACTGAAGCATGTACTGACCTTAGGAAGAACATTTTCATTTTCTGTATCAGAAACACAGTGTCCCAAAAAAAACTTTTCCAGACCCAGAAAAGCTGTCACCAGATATTTTGAAGCCTTGCTTCTAAGTTAATAGAGCTCATAAGCTACATGTCTATACATGGAAGGGGAAATTTTTGCTAATTGGGAACAACACCACACATAAAATAGCAGAAAGGCTACAAAGCTTTCTTATTATTTTACTTCCCTTCAGGAGAGGTTTCAGGGGGATTAAGATATGACAAATATTTGACAGTGAATTCATTTTCCAAATTGCCTGTTTCTCACTTAGCATATCCCCACTCGACTTTATTATATATAATAAACTCAGCTCACATATTTCCATTCACATCACTGGAGTTTGGAGGTGGACTGGTGTTAACAGGACAGAAGTGCTGCTTCTGTGGAGGATTTAGAAATCTACGTATCACGGTCTTTTTGATTTAATTTAAATTCAGGAGAAAAAAAAGAAATCATAAACATGACTTTCATAACTACACAAAACATATATATCAAACAGCTGTAGGGGATCACCAAGCAATATTCCAGTTCCTAGTGTCCTACCTCCAACACTGGCCAGTGGCAAATGCTTAATAAAAATATAGATAGGACAGCAAGTACATGGTAAATATTTTCCCAGGATACTTTCTTATCCTCTAGCAATCTGTATCACTAGCACTTGCTAAGCTAGAGATGTAACTAATAATCCACAATGGATTTTCCTTTTTTTATCCAGGTTTTGGGTTTCATTCATGGTAGAATTCCAGCATTCACAACATCCAGTGGTAAGAAAGAAATTCCGGATTAACTACTAATTTTGTTAAAAACACCTTCATTTTTGCTTTTTCTGCTAACTGTAAACATGATATCTACTAGTTACTGTCTTGAGAAATACAGAGGAAAAAATTTTCCCTGTCCACTTTCATCTATGCCATTCACAATTTTACAAACATTTTTTTGCCTTTTTACTCAGTAGTCACTTTTTCAGGCTGATGAATTCTAAACTACTTAGTGTCTATGACCAGTAATGAGTCAGCCTTTTTTGCCTTTGCAACTCTTTTATCTTTCCTGCTTTAGCAAGTCCTTCCGAAACAGGACCAAAATGGCACAGACTTATTTTAACTTGCAAAAGGGCAAGGTGCTGATCTCTGTTATTCTCTGCTCCTTTTTTGATCATTCCCCTGGCATGGTATTTTGCTTCATTACATTACTGCTACTGGTCTCAGAGCTGGTCTTGTCATCAAAAGGACTTACTTTAACCCTGAGGTCACTTTCTGAAGCCTGCTCCTACCCCATTTTTCCCAATATTTTTAAATAAGGATAATTTTTTTCCATTTTCCTATTCTTCCCATATATAAAGCAAACTGCATACTGGACTCCTTTATGAAGTCTGTGGCCAGAACATCAAGGAAAGTTGCTATGGTCCAACTGGGGTCTAGCTTGGGGCTCCCCAGTTTAAGAGTGCCAAGAAAGGGGCAAGTCAGGTGAGGACTGCCAGGGGACCAAAAGCAACATGAGAAGAGGCTGTAGGAGCTGGGCAAAGAAGAGACATTGCAAGAGCAACCAGCAGTTACTTGAAGGGTAGTGGTAAAGGTGACAAAGCCAACAGCCCCTCAGCAGCGGCAAATGATACCAAAAGGGGACACATCCTGCAGCAAGGGAGACTGAGGTTGCACATTAGGAAAAACATTTTCACTGGAAATGTAGCACAAGTTTCGCAGAAAACCTGTGAAATCTGCATCCTTGGAAGCTTCCAAGATTTATGCCTAGTCATCAACACAGCTGACTTGGTCTAGTGTTGGTGATGGTGCCACCTTGAGCAGCAGATGGGACTTGATGACTGCCAGAGGCTCTTCCAACGAACATTGCTGTGAGTCTGTGAATGACTGACTTCATTTTTACGCTGGGTATGATACTTGCTGATCTGTTTCTTGAGTTAATGGTGCAGAAAAGCTCCCTGACTACCTTAATGAGTATTCAGCTTAATTAGATGTCTGTAGTTATGATCCTGGCTTTAAAAAGACAAATCCCTGATCTATGATACAGAGCTTGCATAATTGCTGTACAAATTTGTTTGAATTGATGATGATTCATCCCTAAGATTTTACATCCTTTAAAAATATTCATCTGAGATCATTTGTGTCTTTGTATCTTCAAAAAGAAGAAAGTGTCTTAAAAGAAAGTGTCTTTAGCACTTAATCACTGGGATTGATCAGTGTAACTCACACAATGTGATTCAGGTAACCAGCCAGGCAGATCAAGGGATCCCAAAGCCTTCATTGGCTGATTCAATGTGCTACAAGCACAGGAAATGCTGAAAACCATCAGAGAGAGATGAAACAGGAGTAAGTAGGTCTCAAATGTTTTAAATATGAGAATATGTTTCCATCTACTCTTTCCCAAGAGTTTATATTGCATTTAATAAGGTCTATGGACTCATGATTTAGAAAGAACTGTTTTCTCTCAGTACTAAAGAAATGAGATAGCAATATATCAGGTTTATTTCCAGTAATTAGACTTCACAATTGGCTTTATTTTGTCTTAT